CGATATTCTTTCAAATACGCTAACTACGACAAGCTTAAAATAGCTATATCTGAAATAATCTGGCCTGAGTACGATGGGGATGTTGAGAACAGTGCCTTACACTTTAGTAATATCTTGAATAATATATTCAGTAAACTCAATCCTCTTGTTAAAGAAAATACCGGACCTCGTAACTCGTCGTGGTTTAACTCAGAGCTAAAGCATTTAAAAAATTAGAAAACTAAATCATTTAAACTTTATAAAAAATCAGGCCTGTCTTCACACTACGCCGCGTACTCCATCCTTCGTCATAAATACAATGCCTTAAACAGAAAATGTTACAGGAATTACATTAATAAAACTCGCATTAACATCGTTTCTAATCCCAAGTCATTTTATCATTTTGTTAACTCAAAACGTAAAATAAATGGGTTTCCCTCAACACTGAAATTAGATGATGTTATTTCTAGTGATGATGATATGATTGCTGATATGTTTGCAAATTATTTTGAATCGAACTATTCTGTCGAGCCAAATGAAAAAACTTCTAGCTATCCTTTTCCACTCCCACAGTTTGACCACATCCGTATTCCTTCAATCTCCGCTGACAATGTTCTCCTTCATTTGAATAGTTTAAAAAATTCTTTTCTAAGCGGCCCGGATGGTATTCCCTCCTGTGTCCTAATAAGTTGTGCTGATTATCTATATAAGCCATTAACAAACATCTTCAATGCTTCTCTAAAGCAAGGAGTTTTCCCCTCTTTGTGGAAGGAGTCGTATATCTTGCCGCTTTATAAAAATGGAAGCAGGTCGAATATTGCGAATTATAGGGGAATCGCTAAGCTGTGTGCCATTCCTAAATTATTTGAAGAAATCGTTACGGAAGAACTATCTTATTCCATAACACCCGTTATCGATGTATCACAACACGGCTTTTGTAAAGGTAAATCAACTGTATCAAACCTTCTTGAATTCACTATCGAACTATTCTGTCGAGCCAAATGAAAAAACTTCTAGCTATCCTTTTTCACTCCCACAGTTTGACCACATCCGTATTCCTTCCATCTCCGCTGACAATGTTCTCCTTCATTTAAATAGTTTAAAAAATTATTTTCTAAGTGGCCCGGATGGTATTCCCTCCTATGTCCCAATAAGTTGTGCTGATTATCTATATAAGCCATTAACAAACATCTTCAATGCTTCTATAAAGCAAGGAGTTTTCCCCTCTTTGTGGAAGGAGTCGTTTATCTTGCCGCTTTATAAAAATGGAAGCAGGTCGAATATTGCGAATTATAGGGTAATCACCAAGCTGTGTGCCATTCCTAAATTATTTGAAGAAATCGTTAAGGAAGAACTATCTTATTCCATAACACCCGTTATCGATGTATCACA